CTCCTTATGTCCTCTCCATGATCTTAAAACTTATCGAGGTCGTTGTACTTGGATCGGTCAAAGGCATTCTCATACAGTTAGAACACAAATAGATAGGGCTGTGGCAACTAGTGAGTGGTTAGATTTGGCCATCAAATATAAAAAAATAGAGACATCAAAATACCCAATGACAAGGGCCAAAAAGATGTTAAGAACAAGAAACATCACATCGAATCCTTTCTTGCAACCATGCAGGGCATCCGAAAGCAAGGTACGACTGAAACCTACCCTCACGAGTAACACTCCTAGCAATCTCACAAGCCACAGAGTTTGCCTCGCAACATATCACAGTTTAGGGAATAAAAATAACACATTACTCTCTTTTCATATCCTTACCAAATTTTGGACAAATTTCTACTCTTTCTCGAGTTCCATCCTTTTCAACTTTTCCTTCACTATACCCACCAGCTCCGCAAATCGTAGCCTCGATGTCAACATAACACACTTACACAGCTCATCCTGCTTAAGTTAGAAATCCCAAACACCAATCTCCAAAATAACCCATTCACCCAACACCAACATCACAACAATCATCGTTCCTTTGGGCATTTGAAAGAAATAGTTCACTACGTCAATTATAATTTTTGCTAACTACAATAACAAAAAAGTGGGAATATAGTCAACTATACAAACTTCTCTTTGCTTTCCAGATCCGCCGACAACTTTGTTCTCCATCGTCTTCATAATTGACAGTTTCGTGCTCTTTCTCTTTAGATTTTCTTTCTAGCGCAATGTTTAAAAAGAGTATATTATATTTAATAATGAAAATGAAACAAGGTAGTGTGTAATATTTAAGGGAATTTTGCTAAAATATGCCACATTGAATTAGATAATGTTCCAATACACCTTTGTCAATTTTTACCACTTTTTACTCATACTACCCTTAATGAAAATATAAATAATTCAAAATAAAATGTTTTAAAACTTTTAAAAATCAGATAATTATAAACATGTCATGAATAGTCATTTGTATATAATAATTTTTTTAAAAGCTAAAAATCATGTTGAAAAATGATTTTAGTGTTTTCTTCTACGCCAACCACAATTCGGTAGATTTAGGATTTTACCTATTTCACGTATATCTACCGAGTGTAGCATTTTGGTTCTACGTCTTGCTCAACGTTCTATATTGTCGTAGAATATTAGTTCCACGACTTAGACTGACATCTACCAAACTTAGATAGTACTTTCTACTGTTTTCAGTATATTCTACCGTGTTCTGAATATAGTTTCTACCACAACGTCTACCACTTTGTCTACCATCTACCGATTCGTAGAATATAGAATCTGAAAAATTAGTTACAAATTTCTTAAATCTAGGAGTGAATATTTTTGTTCCCTAAAATGAGTTTTTAAAAGATATTTTCAAAATTTTCTTCTTCAAACC